GGGTAACTTGGGGACAATGAGATGCTGTCTCAAAAAATGGAAAAGGGGGGCTGGGAATTTATTTTAGTGGTGCTGCTGCCTACCTCACAAGAGCAAGGTCCCGAGTTCAATTCCCAGTACATACATGCATACATACCTAAATAAATATTTTAAAAGGGTAGGAATGTAGTTCAGTGTGAGAGGCCTGAGTTTAATCCCTACTACTTAAAAAATTATAAAAATATTATTCAAAACCCTTAGTACACTGCCTTTAGTCTGCCAAAAAATTAATTCATCCCTGAAAGAATAAATATGAATATTACAATGATGCTCACTGAAACTTCTGATACAGCAGTAAAAGTTGGAAGTAACATAGGTGAAAGATTAAGAGGATTGTGGTAACTTTAAACCATCATAATTAAAAATAAACTGTCAAAGAATAATTAGTGACAAGATCATTCTTAGGAATGTAGCAATGGGAACACAGGCTTTGTAGTCATTGAACCTGGCTTCTGAACCTCACTCACCTAATTCCCTATGTGTGACCTTAGATGATTTATGCTTCATTTTATCAGCCATAAAATGGGGCCAATTCTCATATCTGCCTCTAAAGCTCATTGAGGGAATCAAGTGAGGTGAGGGGTTTTGAACTGCTTCTCACAAAGTCAGGTACTCTCAAAAATTTATACAACAGTATGTTTTCTTCTTTGATAATTTGTATTTTCTAGGTTTTAACCAATGATTTAATTCATGCCGCAAAAAATAGAAAGTTATGTTTTTAGAAGTTTAAAAAATTTAAATTTCTTTAATTATAGTAAAATATGAATGTGCCTGCAATTTATTTATTTATTTATTATTATTTTTTGTTTATTTATTCATTCCAGTGCTGGAGATATAACTCAGGACCTTGTGCTTTCAAGGCAGGCAGCATGGCATCACTGAGCTAAGTTCCTGGCCCTTACACCTGCAGTTTAGTGTCTTACATGTCTAGTAATTTGAAACATTGGGGCAGATGCTGGCTGGAGTTATGGGAGTTTGTCTTGGGCAGTGACTTCAAGGTGGCATGGGGGACAGGGCCCTTTTCTCAAAGATCCTTCTCTATGAGTAAGAATCACTGGTGCCTTGTTCATCAGGGAATCTCATTTCATCATTTCCAAGATCAGAGTGATTCTCTTTAATCAGTGAGCTCCTACCAGCTAGTCACTATAGGAAATATTCTAGGTGTTCCAATGGTAATTTCAGACATCTTTGTTTTAATTACAGAACTCTGTCTTAATTGTACTACTGGCGGATATGTGACCTCCAGCCTGCTTGGTTTGGCTCATGCAAATTTAAATGAACAAATACTGTGTCTTGCTGGTCCCTGTTCATCCTGGAGGCAAGGACATGGGTGGGGCCTGTCGGGGAATCAGGGCTACCAAAGAAATAAAAGGCAGGAAGGGTTAGTTATGAGAATATTAATTCAAAATAAAAAAGCAGTGTTTTAAAATTTTAATACAACTGTGTTTAAAAATGTCTTGGCCCTGCTACCTTTACCAAAGTGCCCAGCTTTAGAAAGAGATAAACTTCTCAATCCTATGAAAAAAAAACTCAAGGTCACAAAAGGTGACAAAAAGTGACTCGGGAAATATCAGGTCAGTGACATAATAATCTAATTTTAATAATGAGTGAGGCCATGTCACTGCAGTGATGCTTTTGTCATCATTCCTGTTCTCCCCACCTCCTCAGAAGAGCAATGTCAGAGCCTCTGTGGTGCCCACTGTCTGTGGAGGATAAGACACTGAACAACAAGAAACAAATCCCTGAGAATTGCAGTTCCTCAGCATCTTAGCCTAGTGACTAAGAATAAACTCACTGCTCAATGGTGAGCTAAGCTGCAGTCTCCTTTTTATAGTACTACAACTTGTGTAGTTGGGTGCAGTGCAATTCAATAAATATTTCAGTTGCTACTGTGCCAACTCTAACAAAATTTACATCATATCTAAAATATCTTCTAATTCAGATGACTCATGACCCAAGAAAGCAGAACATCTGTCACAGAGAGTGCCATAGTCAGGGAGCAGAAGGACTGTGCCAGTGGCCCTGGACCATTGGGTTCCCTCTTGGCAGACAGAACCTTCCCTTTTAAAAGACAGAGAATTGGTTGCTATGCTCTGAGATGTGCAGTGATTTTAGAAAACTAGGTGAAAGTAGCATTTCAACTTTCATCTCAGGGTCAATCACAGAGCCTTTGCCAAAGAGGTTCTGGAATCCTGATTGGACTGGTCCACTTCTCACCCAAGCCTCTGTAGCAGGTCCTCCAGGGTCATGATTATAACCATGGCCACATGCCTAGGTTATTGAAGATAAGTATGGAAATAGTTTCCCTTCTGAAGAGTGTAGTCTACAAGATCCCAAGAAAAATGAGGTACTTCCATAAAGGTAGACTCCCTGTTGGTCCTCGGGGGTTAGTCTTGTGTTGGTCTTTGCCATGCTGTCTATGGACCTCAGCCTCTCCAAGCTCCCATCAGCTGGGCTAAGCCCACAGTGCCCCTCTGCTCTGGAAACTCCTTGTCTCCCTGCTGTGACTTCCTGCTGTCCCCAGATTTCCCTCTCTCTTACAAAGCTCAGCTCCTAGGACTACCTCCTGCAGGAGGCATGGCCTCTCCCTAAATTCTACTACATGCTCACTTTTCTCTCCTAGTCATTTCCTACCATGTACTGTGTTATTTAAACACTCTTCTTCTCCTTACTGGACTGGATGGGCCTTGGTGGTGTAATCTTTTGTCTTTATCAAGTTTAAAATCCAGCCCAAATACCTAACCTGGTGCTTGTATAAGTATAAAGCCATCAGACATTTCTGGATGCCTTCACGCTTCCCAAGGAGTAGTTATTCCAGGTCCTTTCTCAGGCGTTTGCTTATTTCTATTTTGGGGAATCTGGGCTATGTGATTCTCTGGGAATAACTGGATCTACCAGGGCAAACACTCAGTTGAGTTTTTTAGAGAATTAAGTGACATGGTTTTGAGAAAAGATGGACAAATTCTCTGAACACAGGCATCTCTACCTTTCAGTCTGCTTCAGTTACACATTTTATTTTGGACAGTGCTTTGTCTACCTGAGCCCAGTATGGCCCCTGAGTTAAATATTGGTCTTTAGGCTGCATTTCCTATTTTCCTGTGAAAGATGTCATAAATAGACCCAAGCAAGTGCCCTTTCTCCCTCTTTTGATTTCAAGGAAGGACATTTGGGAATTCAGAGGGTATCTCCACTGGGTTTGAATGAGAGTAGATACGTGTGCCTTTCAGTGAGGGTGAATTCTTTGTTTTGTTTTGTTTTGTTTTGGGGCGGGCGGGATGTGAATTTTTTTCTGTCTGACCTGGGACTATCTCAGCTTTGCACAAACAAGAGACCAAGTGGCAGCAGAAGATGTCCCTGGAACAGGTGGCTGCGGCAGAGTAGAGGCAGAGAAACAGACCATGTGCTGAACCCTCAGGGGAGGCTGCTCCTGTGGAAGTGGGGCCCATCTGTGGAGAAGGCAGAAGGGAAAATTACCGGTAGCAGTGATTGTAAGACACAGGAAGAAGAGCCAGGCTTGCCCAAGGCTTGTGTGCATCCTTTCCCTTTGCAAACTTCCAAGTAGAAGGAAATGCTTCCAGCTGGTTTAGGGATTTGCATCTACAGACAGAATTCAAGGGTACCCCAAAGCACCATGGGGCCATTATAGAAAAACCACATACATTTGGCCTCCGTTGTGAAGAAAACTGTCCTGAAAGCTGCAAGGGTGAACATGTCTAGTGTCACCCAGAGAAAGCATCAAAGCAACTCTTGAGCTCCATTCAGCACGTTCAGGGGTATAATGCTCACACGTGCATACTTCCTGATGTCCAGGGCAGCTCAAGGCTTCCAGTGTCTCCATTTTTCAAATTTATTTCTTTAAGTCATTGTTAATAATGCTGCCCAAAAGCCGCATTGAAGAGGAATGTTTTCAGATGGTGAGGATAGAGGCTTCAGCGGATAATGCTTCCCTGGGCAACAGGAACTTTAATTTTATTTTACTTTTTCTATTTTAATCAGTCACTATGGGAAGAAAAAACTGGGTCTCGAGATTATTTTTGTTTTGCAGGTTATTTTTCTGGACGATTAAACGCTCTAATTTTCTTTCAAGAAGCTGTCTGGCCACCGTGTTATCGTGTGTGGGGGGGGAGTGGGGGGCGGGTACATCACTTTTCTCTTAATTAAGTTTTATAGGGAACTCTATCTTGAGAGGGAAAAGGGGATGCTAAGCCACGACAGCCTCCCCAATCCCATCTCCACGCACATCTGCTCACTGCGGGCCCAGGTACCAGCTACGTTCATCATTTTCAAGTCCTCAGAGAAGCTGAACGGATGACCCCGGCAGGCTCAGAGTGCATCAGAGCAGCCGCGGCTCTGCACCACCTCCGTGCTCTGCGCTCCTGGGTCCTCCGTGGATCCGGCTGGATAAGAGCCGACTCCTGGAGGCACAGGGCAGTCGGGCTCCGGAGGATGAAGTCGGTGTCCGGCGCCCCGGCTCGGCCCGGGAAGGAGGTGCCTGGAACTGGTCCCCGCCTTGGTTAGCGCGGAGCCCGCGGGTTGGACGGCGGTGGAGACGCTGCCCT